GGACCCTCAAGAAATAATAAACCACTCAAACTCAAGTCTGAGAAAAAGCAACCGGTCTACAGGCCCTGAGGCTGTCTTGGCTTCATTTCCACTGTAAATAAACTTCAGGCAGCAAGAATGCCTACATACAAATACCAGTTGTCTCTAGAAATAATTCATAATATAGAACTCTGCAGTCAAGAAATGACAGATGGAAATAAATGTTTTTATTTCTCTGAAAAAACAGCCCAGTGGTCAAGAAATATGCTTTCCTCACTCCCCTTAAAATCAAGTTTTCCTCCCTAGAGTCCCCAAAAAGATGAACATTACAGAAAAATGCATGTGACAATTCATTTAGGTGATGGCAAAGCCCCTGTAAATTAGCGTATCAATCAATTTTTAAAGGGTGCTGTAAAAAATTATGCTCATGAACAGAATGTTCCTCCTCGAGTTGAAATCAAGGCCTGCTGAGCGGAAAGTAAAATTGCTGAATGGGTGGCTTAGTTTTCAGACTCGGCTGAACACCGAGTCGATGGAATCAGCGTTCACACTAGAGAAGGAGATGACGCTGGCACAGCTCCTCCATGAGAAGGGGTGGAAGTGGCAACTGCATTCCCCATGTGCCCACAGCGGTTCTCCAGTCACTGCCTGGCCAGGCTGCTCAGCTACAACGCCGGCAGCAGCTGCTCACCGCACCGCTTCCTCTTGTTGAATGCAGCGCTGCTGGCAGTGTAACATTTTTAATAAAAAATCAGATAAATTTAAACTACTGCACACATCAAAACTACTGACCTCCAGGAAAGAGCTAACTGTCGTCTGCTTCTTTGTTTTTTTCCACCTCCCTTCTTGTCTGCTGATCCCTTTTTCTGAAGAGCAACTCAAACACGCGGTGGTAAGCCTGGGCTGTACCCAGAACCAATCTCACTGCCTCTCTCAGTCCAGCTCGCTGCTGTGTAGTGTTTGCTGCGCATCTGGCTGTGTTTACTTACGACCTCTGACTCTGTGGTCACACTGTTATCACAGTGACATTCACGTCCAGGGTCAAAGGGTGATTTATGGCTCCATTAGCAATGAGTGTGGCCTTGGTGGGAAGCCACCCGGCCATCCAGGTGCCACACAGAGCACCGAGGTGGCCTTGGTGCTTGTCAGCTTGAACAGGTATGGATACAGCAAGCACAACTGCCAGCCAAGCACAGCCTTCTGCTTTGGGAGCAAGGCAACAAGTATCACAGATGGTAAAAAGTGGGGTGAACATCGAGTGAGTGCCCCTTTTGCCTGCATCTCACATGCAAGGCACCATGAGGACAATTTTGGGGCTGACATTGCTACCAGCCCTTCCAGCTTGCACCAGAGCCCAGGCCCATACTTGTGCGTGGGGGCTGGCAGTGCTGAATCTGGGAGCACCTCTGGGCTCAACAGATGGAAACGTGTCCTCAGGTGCACACAGGGCTGCATCTGGGGAGCAGGAAGGATTTCTGCAGCAAATTGTCCCCAGAACAGCACATCACCTCATGCCAGTACTCGGCGGTGTGTTGTCAGCCTGCAGGACTGGCTTCAGGTCAACATTGTTCAATTCGAGAAGTCTGAAGAGATGTTAAAAGTATTTATTTCCCAGAGTTTGTTTGTTTGTTTGTTTTTAGTTTTTTTTTTAGACTTTTCTATGCATACTAACAACCAAATTTTGGGTAGAAAGAGCAAGCATTTATTTGGTATGAGGACTACTTGCTGCTGATTGAAAACAAGCACTTTCAGTGAGGCAGCTGTTTCAGTACTGTGAGTAGACAGATCAGCAACACATTGAAGACCCAATAACCTGCTCAGGAATCTTCATTTATGGAGCCCCCCCTTCCACCCATTTCCATATCTCAGTAGTTTCAAAATCCCATTATAGGTGTTGCCAAAGAGCTATGTAAGTATGCCCTCTGACAAATTTCAATGGAAAACAGAAAAAAATGGTAGCTTTGAGTTATCAGACTATATTAAAAACCTTATTACATGTATTTACTTTAACAATTTCTTTTTTCTTTTCTTAAATAAATAGCAAAGTGTCACCAAAATGAATGTAATGCCGGCACCATTGCTTCGATAGAAACTTCCATACTGGGATGAGTACACAGTCATATTCTGGAATATTGCATAAAAAGGTACTTCAGAGGAAAGAAAGTGGTTGCTGGTTCATCTCATGTGGCAGAAGCATCTCCCTGGGAGAGGGCCATGTGGTGGCCTCATGGAGTTGGGCTGGCTCTAGGATGGCCTTGCAGGACTCACCCATTGCCTGCTGTCAGCCACGGTGCAGCGTGAGGAGCAGAGGGGCTCACTCTCTAGGGAGAAGAACACTAGGTCTGAACAAGGGAAATGAAGGGCACGAAAACAAACTGGCTGGTTAACATGCAGCAGGGCAAGGTCATTGAAAATGGAAGCTGCCTGCTCTTTAGTTAGAGGAAATGATGCAAGCGTTGTTACATCAACACTTACAAACTCAGGCATCCATTTCAGATGGGTTTCCCTGGGCTGGATTGGTGCTGTTTTTTGAGCTTGTCTCTTCAAACCAGGACAAATCTTAAGGACAGCCCTGAAGAAAGACCCCAAAACACAATGCCCGCACAACGCCTGCTGCCTTCATCTCTGTGCACTGTGCCAGAGTGCAGGGAGCTGAACCCCACCTCTCTGCTCCTGCTGGCTGAAATCAGACCTTTATTACTTTAAACAGAGTTTATTGTATTTAATACATTATAAAATTTGAAAAATTGTAGGAAAGCAGCAGATTCAAACCAGAGCATCTCTACCAAATATTAATTATTCTGGCCCCCTTTGAAAAAACACAAAACAAAATGAAAAAAAAACAAAAACAAAAACAAAAAAAAAAAACCCAAAAAATTCATTCAAAAGAAAAGTTAAGCTTTCACATCTGTGAGGGCAGACAAGACGTGTGCGACTTCTGTACAAACTACATTTAAAATTTCATTTGAGTAGCTTTTCAATGCAATGAATGGTCATCTCCTGAACGCCTGCCCATCCACCTCTAAAAGACAGACATAAAACCTCCATATGCAAGTAGAGTTGAATCAAGGCGTGTAGATATTAAAAATTGAATGAGTATTTGGAAATGAAAAATGTGTTACGAGCTGTCTATGAATCCCCCCATGGTAATGGCTTGTACACCATTAAGTGGACCCAAGTAAGTCTTAGGACACTTAATGGCCATCACAGCACCAACCTCATCTACCACTTGTTTGTCATTGCATTTCCTACCCTTTGATGTATACATACACATATATATATATGCATGTACATATATATATGTATGGCTGTATTTTCTTCTACACCTTGAGGTTTTTATTATTACTACTATTCCAAGTGTTCCCATATGAATTCAGGTGTGGTCTCTATATTTGATATAAATGTGTCTTTTATTCACTTTTACTTGCAGGACTTGTTTGGAGTCCAAACTGCACATGAAACGTTCCCCCTTTTTTCCTCTCTTTTTTTTTTTCCTCTTTTTTTTTTTTTTTTTTTTTTGCATAAAGAAACATGTCCATTTTAGTCCAGAGGCTCTTGCTTTATTCGAATGACGGAGGGTGCACGAGATGTCTTTCTGAGTTCTCGTCTCAGTACGTATTCACTGAATTGGGAAGAGTCCACTCCACCTCCACATGAGCCAACAATCTCAAATCCTCTTTGCTGTAACCTCTCAAGGACCTGAAAAAACAGGAAACAAACACCAAGGTTTAAGTAATGAACGGACTGCCTGTATCTTCTAAAGACTAGAAAACCAACCACAACTGCAAAGATCTGTGCCTGTATTCAGACCAGTGGTAAAAACTAGAAAGCTTTAATGATGGAACTAAATCTCTCCAGTCACCTACTTTCCTTCATCTTCACAGCCTGAGTGATGCTTCCAGTGGGAGGGGAGGGAAGGAAAGGGGAAAAGAGAGGAGGGGAGAGGAGAAGAG